AAGAGGGTGCTAAAGTCCTGGTAGAGAGTCACTGAGAGACACCCGCTCCGAGCCCCACCCCCGGGATGTCCTCAGGGGCAGGCCCAGAGCCTCTCCTGCCCTGCTCCTCCAGCTGAGGCCTGGGCTGGCGATCTGAGGCCCCTGAGGTCATCCTGGCTCAGGACTCCCGACCCCTGGGAACCCAGCCCCTTCAGGGGAGCCACACAGACTGAAGCCAAAGGGGAATATTTCAGTGTCCACGCTTCCTTGAGGGGTCAGGAGCCAGCAGCCAAGGGACAGGGCCCCTCCAGCCCTCACCCTGCCACTGCAGCCTCCCCCCTCCCCCCCTCGGAGCACTTCCCACAGAAAGCACTTCCTCCTCCTTCTAAGCTGGTGATGCTTGCCGCAACCTGGGCACCAAGGGGTGTCCCAAGTGCTGAGATCTTGGACCTGGGCACCATTCATCCAAGGCCATTTTCTAGCTTTGTGACTTTGGTCAAGCTCCTTAATCTCTTTGTGCCTTAGTCTCCCCATCTGTAGATTGGGGGTGATAGTAATGCTGACCCAACAGGGCAGTTCTGAGATTAAGTGAGTGCAGTTGCCAAGTACTCAGAACAGGGCCTGGTGCGTGGTGGGGTCTGGTATGTAAATCCACCACGCAGCAGGAAGGGCTACTCGCAGGTGAAGACAGAGGCTCTGAGATGGCACTGCCAAGGGGCAGGCAAGTTGCTGCCCCGGTGCTTAGAGGAGCAGTTCAGGCTCAAGCCTCCCGAGGCAGTGACCTGGCTGGAGGCAGCACTGGCCCTCGCCCGGGCCGCTGTGATCGCGGGCCACCTCCACACATCCCCGGCCGCTGCAGGTCGCCTGCAGGTAAGGGCTGCCTGGAAACCCCCAGGGTGATGGAAAGTCCAGAACTCTACAGGAGCCCGTTTGCTAATCTCCAAGAAAGAGGCTGAGTGATGTCCGCAGCGGCCAAGCCCGCCTGATGACCTGGGGGCTCCTGGGAGGGGATGAGGCTTTAGGAAAGTGAAGTGCAGACTTCCATTTTCTCAGCAGTTGTCACTTCCCTTGAGCAGTTGGCTTGTGGCTAAGGTGTCCCTCTCCCACCCCTGATGACCACTCAGCCCCCAGGGAGAAAATGCACCGGGTGCAGGGTGGCGCTGGGTGATGCCAAGGGACCCAGGGGCTCTGGGCCGGCCACCCCGAGGCCAGAAGCACGGCTCCCTGGTCCCCTGGGGGCCTCTGTGTGAACGTGGGGACCTGCTGGCCCAGCGGGTGTCATCAGAGGTGACAGGAAGTGACCAGGAGGCTGGGAGCTCCAGAGAACTCAGGAATCCCGCTGGGCGCTGAGTGTAGGGCTGACTTCGGCTCACGCTTTCTTTCACGTCTTAATAGTAGACACACATGCAGGAGAGAACAGGGAAGGCCGGTTGCAGCTGCTGGGCCCTGGGCTGGGAGAGGACACACGTCTCAGCTGTGAAGGCCCCCTCCTCCTGATGCGGGAACCCTGCCTTGGTTTCCCCATCTCCAGGCCTGGGCCACTGACGGTTCAGTGCTGAACACTGGGACTGTGGGGAGCAAGCCTGCGGTGGGGGGTGGGACGTAGAGACATGAGGTCCATTGGCCCCGTGCCCGGCGCAGGGGGCACTGGCGAGGGCTGTGGGGGTTGTTATTTCAGGGACCAGGACCTGAGCGTGGAGCTCTCTGGCAACTCAGGGTCAGAACAGGCTGGTTATCTGGTAGAATGTTCTGGGGACGGACACGGGAGCAGGGCCCTGGCACCGCCCACCTCTGGGGCGCCGGCTGCAGTGTTGAGGGTGGCAGCCGTGGACACGTGGGACTTGGGGACCATTCCTGCCTGTCCTGCCTGCACGTTCCACAGACACCCGGGGGAGCCTCCCTAGGCTGTGAGCCAGACAAAGACAGAGTCTCCCACAGCGCATACTCAGGCCTGTCTGCCCACGGGGTCAGCCGCCTTCTAGAAGCTTTATTTTCTAACACACCTGGAGGAAGTCGAGGGTGGGCTGCTGCTGGAGACTCCCAGTGGAATGTGCTCATTTTAAAAATGAGAGGACTGAGGCCCAGAGAAGGAAAGCAACTGCCCGGCATCACCCAGCCTCCAGGTGACGCTCAGAGCTGAGCCCGCTGACGTGCGCTAGTCCTAGTCCAGGTCCTCCACCAGGCAGGCACCCCTCCACCTGACCCCGCCTACAGCCCCTGTCTTGGGACCCCTGAGCAGCTACTGTGGCGGCAGTAGTGTCCCGGCCTCTCGGAGCTGCCCCTCTGGCGCCTGAGGCCGGGCCCTGGGTGAGGTGAGGGGTGCCTGTCCTGGCTTTTCCCCATTTAAACAAGGCCCTGTGGGATGCGGGCCAGAACCGCATGTAGGGAATTGAGTCGGGTCAGGCCCCATTCCAGAAGCTTCTTTACCAAGGAAAGAAAGCCAACAGCCTCTGGCCGGTGCAGACGCGGGCTGGCGGGTGGATGGGGCCCTCTCGCGCTCAGTCACAGGGAAGTTTCCGTCCCCGCCCGGGAGGAAGCGCCCTGCGCCCTGATTGGCTCGGGCTGCGCGGCGCTCGCCCGCTC